AAATCTTGATTTGATGTGCTAAAATCATAAATATTATAAAAAGGGAATCTAAGAATTCATGAAATATGGTATTACCCCATTTTACAACTAAAGAAACTGAGGCGCAAAGAGGGTTGCCTAAATCACACACTTAGAACCCCGAAATCTGCAAGCATGCACAGGTTATAAATCTTCAAAGTCAAAGTCTAATTAGAATCTTGTTTTTAAAAATGTGCCTCTAGCTGTGTTGACCAGACATTATATCTGAAAAGTACTCTGAAATTTTAAAAAATTAAAAACCACACAGAATTTGGACAATCAACTACATCAATCAACCAATTATATTTGAGTGCCCTGTACTGTTCCTGATAACCAATAAAGTATTATATATTGATCACTATTGCAAGAGTTTACAACCTACTGGAGACAATTAGGACTAAAAACTTTATAGAGCGTAAGCAAGAAGACAAACAGTTTGGAGAGCTACCACACTGGAGTTCAGAGAAGAGTTCACTGAGCGTAGAATTTGACCTGGGCCCTGAAGTCTGGAAAGCTTGATGGGGGAAAGTGGGGGTATTTCGGGGTGGGGAAGTGTCAGGGACAAAGGCGAAGAGATGGGAATTGGCAGGGTACAGAGGGAGAGGCTTGAGGGGGTCTGCACTCCAGGGTGGGCAGGGCCTGAGGGCCCAGAGATCCTCGGAGGCCAGAGGAAGGAGTGTAGAGTGAAGGAAAATGGGAGAAACATATTCTGTGGAAGATTAGACTAGGTGAGGGAGACTGAGGGAAAGACTGGACATAGCTATTGTGGTTATCAGGTAACTACCTGATATGTTAGTTACCTGGATTCAGGTAAAGGGAATTTTAAAAAGCAAAAGAAAAAAGTAAGAGGTGGACCTGAAGAAACCACTGAAGGAACCCATACCGTCTGGAGACTTCTTGGAAACAGGAGGGAAAGTAGGCATCCTTGAGATTTCTTTGAAGAAAGATGGTTGTCACTGATGGGAGTTAGGAAAGATAGGAAGAGAAGACAGTGCTGAGGGGGTTATGGGGGAAGGAGGAGGCAGGCAAGGAGGTGCAGTCAGGAGGAGAAATGGGTTGTCTGGGGGACACTAAGTCGGAAGTGGTGGCAGATGGTCCAGACAGAAAGGCACCGCACACTCCTGGAAACACAAGCCTCCTGCTTGGGTCAGAACGAGGTACAGAGTGGTCCCCCATCTGTATCAGGCACCTGAGTGCCCAAGGGTGAATGCACAGGGAGAGCCAGTGGGGTGCTGGGGACAGAGCTGTGGGGAACGTGCCCATTTCTCTCACTCTGCAGGCAGGGAAAGGAGCAGCAGTCTGAAAGCCCAGGAGGTCAGGCCCAGTCAGTAGGGAACCATTCACTCCTTCCCTGAGGTTTCCATAACAACATCAAACGTGATACTTACAGGTAAATTCAGGTGTGTAGATTCTGAAAATCTAAATGGATGCACTTGGGCCGGCCGACTGANTGTACCTTCTCTTCCCTTGTGTGGGAATTTCTACCTTAAAACACCAGTGAGTTCAGGGAGCCCCAAGTCAAGTACAGTAAATCCTCACTTAATGTACATGAAGGTTCTACAACTTTAAGCGATACGACAAAACCAATTTTCCCGTAGACTAACTGATATAAACAAGAGTTTAAGTTCCTGTGGCAGCTCACCAGCACTATAATGAAACGGCATGAACGAAAGGACATTATTCAAGGACCTGCTGTATCTACAGAGGCATAAGGTCCTGTGATTGGCTTGCACTAGGCTCCTCGTGGAGCCGGAGAGCCAAGCCAGGTGTGGAGAGAAACTTCAGTCCACTCCAACGTCCAACCCTAAGAATGCCCTCACTGCACTGGCCGGAAAGTGCCACGTGAGGACCCTGGCAGAGTTAACTGAGACTGACGATCCTGTTGGAAAACGAAAGGAAAGTCCTCTAGATGGCAATGCTAGCAGTAATGGACCTAAAAACACCTACCTACCTCATCACCATGAAAACAGATTAACAGGTATCATGGCTTAGCAATGAGTAATATTCTCCTAAAAATTAGTGTCTCCCTCCAAGTGGATCAGAGTGACAACCATCAGTTGCAGGGAAACCAGGACCAAGCAAATCTAAGATACACCAACCTCCACCAGTGATCAGCACTGGGTACAGCGTGTGCCCAGTTGGGTAAAATAAACGTGGCAGTTCCTGTCTTCTCGCTGGCTATCTCCCAGGTTTATTTGGCACAATGAGGACGCAGGCCGTGTCAGTTACGCAAAACACAAATCTGAGAACATGTACTTTAAACTACTTCAGTTCTGCCTGACGGTCGGCTTCTCTACAGAATATCACCTGATCCAAACTATGTTACTGCCGTCTAAGTCACTGTAGTACTCTTTAGGAAAATATCAATTTTACTAGCTAAGTCAAAGCCTCTGGGTCAGGATTATTCCCACTCTCACTGGGCTATTGCCTATAAACTCATTTTACAATCAACATAAAACTATGTGTCTCACTTTGGGCCTGAGAGCCAGCCATTCCAGTGACATCACTGCCCGATACCAGGAAGTCTTTCTGAAAAGATGAACTATGATACCGGCCCAATAATAAACTTGTATGCGTTAAAACTGGTAACAGATGTTAGCAAAATACCCCCCAAACTATCACACTTAAGTTATTATATAAAACAGGATCTAGGACTATCCCCAAAGTAAAAAACCAAAAGGAAAAACATGAAGGTATGGAGGTAGCTAGAGAATGTCCAAGGCTCTTGGTTTTCTAGTGACTCTGGTTTGGGAGAGAAGGTACCTTATCCATGTGGAAGATCAAATCCAATTCACAAACATTTTCGAAACACTTATCCAGAGTCTCCACAAAAACCTAGGAAACAAAGAGAAATAGGTAAAGAAGAGAAATAGGAACATAGTTACATTTTCATAAATATCACATTTGAAAGTAAAGAGAGTGGTCATGATACTATTTACCCTATGGTAAATCTCAAACAAAACAAAACAAAACCTACCAGCATTAGCTGATCACTCTACTTACCCCAATTTGGAGGGGACAACCTAGGCTAGGCTAGTATAGCAACACAACCAGCAGACACAAGTGGCTTTCTTTCTCTTTATAAGATACTAATTTACATAAAATAACAAACTGAAATACCAACTACTTACAATACTTGTCCTTTCCCCAAGCCTCCATGTAGACACACACAAAAAAACTCACTATTGCAGTGTTAACATAGTTTTGTCCTACTAATTTCAGTTAACATTAACTTCAAACACCTCTCCATGAATCAACTTAATTCATATGCTTACAATTTTAACTTTTTAATATAGTATTTAAATAGAAACGTGTACAAATGATAAGGGTACAGCTTAATGAATTTTCAGAATGAGCCTATCACGTAACCACCATCCAGATACTGAAATGGAATATGTACTACCAGCTCTCTAGAAGCCCCCTCAGACAGCACCCACTCTCCCAAGGTAACCACGCTCTAACTCTTATCGTCAAAGTTCTGCCTGTCTTTGAATTTACGTAGACAGAGTCTCTCTCTCTCTCTCTCTCTCNCCCTCCTCTCTCAGGCATATCTGGAAGGAGAAACACAGTAGGCAGGGATGCTCAAACATGCTAACTGGCACCTTTCCTGAGAACTCAAACTCAAACAGGATGTCTTCTTCTTCTAGGCCCAAACAGCTCCTCCTTCATCACTAAACACACACCAAACGTGTCCGTCACTGTCCTCCATCCTGGAGACTAGCAATCAGCATACCTGCTTCAACACCACTAGGGTGTAGAGTGTGCATTTTTCACGTGCTTTACCACAAGCTCTGTTTCCAGGAGGGACATTTAATAAGCACCATCTGCTATTACTGTTTATGATCCTTTTATCATAGGGCTCACCGGTTCATTTCAGTTTCGAGTCCTCAGCATTGTTCCTTTCAGCAGCTATACTTAGCAGAGATGTCAAATTCCATATCGTGACATTTCTTGGGCTCAGACCTGCCCAAGTGTTTATGTTCTAACTCCTGTGAGATAGCCCATTGCCAAATGAAATCTATAAAAAGCCTGGATAAACTCCCTTTATATCGTCTGATGAACAAATCTTGAAAGTCCAATTGAGTTCCAAATCCAGCTTTGCTGTTGAGACACTGCTAGATCAGAATGTTAGGCTACCCACCTGGCTTTCTTTGAACAAAACTGAATTCACCAAACTTAACATCAACCCCCAACTCAGCCATGATGTTGCGTGTGTTTAGGAATTGCTAAAAGCAAAAAGGACCCAACTGCGCAGGCAAAATAAGCTCCGAATGGTACACTCTGGGGTGCTGAAGACTAGCCCAGAGACGGTGAGATCAGATTCCACAAGCTGCGGCATTTAAAACCAACCTTATGAGGCCAGAGACCTGAGAACTCTTTAGTGACACCTGAAGACTACCTCACTCAGTGAAGAGCACCATGCTAGATCCAGTGAGGAAGAANAAGCTCCTAAGGCACAAGTCCTACAGTTCCTAAGTGGCAGAGTCAGGATGGAAGTGCAGCCAGGCAGGCTCTGGGGCGTGTGCTCTTAACCAGGCAAATAAGCAAAACAACACACTGGTCAATGCCATGGCTACGGTAGATAGGGTCCTGGGGAGGGGTCTCGTATGACAAGACAGGAATGGCTGTTTCAGTCTGTGGGCAGGGGGAGGAATGTCAGAAAAGGTTCTAGGAACACTAACGTCTTTGATGAGTGAGTCAAAACGGTCAGTCTGGAGAGGCAGGAGGCTGGAGATTCAGTTTTGGACATAACTGAATTTCAAGTCCCCAGGAGACAAACAACAAGCCATGGTATTGCATGAAATCTCCTAAGAAGGGAAGGTCTAAAAAAAGAGAAGAGGGACCATTTAGGAGGTAAAAAGCCCAAAAGGCCAGATGGAATGACCAGACAGATAGATAAAATACCAGGTGAATGTGTATCATGGAAATTAGAAACAAAGAATGCTTTAAGAGCGAGGAAGTGTCCAAAGTGCGTGGTGAGAGGGGCTCTGGGAAGTGTCCACTGGACTCGGAAACGCAGAGGACACGGCTCTCCACAGTCTGGTGGCCATCTACTTCTCCAAACTTCTCTCCAACGAACCCCACCCATACACCCCACCCCAGAGGGCACATGTGGATGTACCAGGCAGAGGCCCTACTGGCATTTAGCAGAGGGGTCAGGGATGCTAAGTGTCACCAATTCGATGAAAAGCTGCACTGTCCAAAATGCCCTTAGCGCCTCCGCCGGCAGACCCCTTGTCTGGCTGGAGTTTATGCATAGTTCCAAACCCCCCAAACGCTCACACCTTGCTCACCACCCCTCACCATACCTTGAACTTTGTTCCTACTGGTTTGTCACCTGGGATTCTGGTTTTGGAAACAGAAATTACAAAGTCTGTAAAATTTTACATATTGAACCTATCATAATATTCATACTTTAAAATTCTCAAATTCTATGGTTTAGTGGAAAGAACATGGTTTTTTAAAGTTTCAGGAACTTTGGCCTAAGCTTCATCAGCTTGATGACATGTTATTACACAGGGATATTACCACCCATTTTTATTAATAGATTATTAATAGATTATTAATAATCTTTATTTAAGATTATTGGACATAAAGTACCAGCACAAGGCCTGGCGCTTGGCAGCTGTCCAACCAACACTAATTTATTTCCCCTCCTCTGACTACTTCTCCCCTGATGACTGCTCTGCTCAGGAATTTATACAGCCCTCTGTGCTCTTCCCACCTAGCGCTGATCTAATGCAAACTGCTGGTTCACTTCCCCGGCCATCTGAGTTGGGGCCACCCCTATGGTGCTCGCCCAGCCTTGCTTGGGTTGCAACACACTCAGCACACTGCACCGGCAGTTCAGCCTCACAAAGATCCCATATCTACGACCCCAGACTCTCAGCCAAAAGCTGTAGCCACCATCTATCCTGTCCCATCCCTTTCAGAGCCTACCTGCAGAAAGTTATTTCTTCAAAGTCCCCTTCCTCTTTCTCTACCTTTGATCAAACATCATTAAGTAAAAGAGCTTGAGAGTAGGTACTGTATTATTCTGTAGAAATAATTTACATACATTTTAGTTTTGTGAAGTGCAATCTGCAGACATACATATATATATAATTTGATATATATAATTTGACTAAATGGAGTGTTTGTGATCACTTCTATACAAAGCAGTGCAAGGGTAGCCGGGTGGTTCAGTTGGTTAGAGAGCATCCCACCAAGATTGCCGGTTCGATTCCCACATGGGCCAGTGAGCTGTGCCCTCCATAACTAGATTGAAGACAACAACTTGACTTGGAGCTGATGGGTCCTGGAAAAACACACTGTTCCCCAATAAAGTTAATAATAATAATAATA